ACACACAATACCTGACACCAAAAAGTTTTTATCTTGAATCCTTCAATTAGATTTTACCTGTTAACCCATTGAAGGGAGAGCAAATCTAACAATTAGGGGCAAAAATATACTTTTATTGCAGTTGGGTTAAAACATAATAGAAAAAACCATTTTCTTGAATACGTAATTGGCTTTCCTTAGAATTATGCGACACCAAAAGGAAACATTGGGGAGCGGATGTTTTGGAGTATGCCTATTTTAATATTAAAATTATAATATTAACGTGTATTATCTTTTGTCAAGTTAGTGCTTATAAATTGGCAAAGAAAACAATTACTTATTTTTGGTGTAACTCATGTAACCACTAAAGTTGTGATCTACCACTAGTTATCTATTAAAGCTTAAATTTGCAATCACTAACCCGTGTTATTATTCCACTATCTTATTATTTATTTATGGAAGAGATTATACACCTATATATAATGGTTTTTCCTCGTAATTGGGTATAGGAAAGTGTTGTAGAGTACGTGAAAAGGAAAGTTGAGAGAATGAGAAAATTGAAGTCTCCAACTTTTTCTCTACAAAAGAGAATATGATTTTATTGAAGGAAAGTGTTTTAAGTGATTGAGCTTTGGACTCAACAACTAGTCCAGAGTTGTTCAAGTCATACAACGTGGTCAAACCGTTGTATACATAAGGGGACAAGTATAATGACCTGACCAGTCTTTTTGAGCTCTAACATTTTGTTAGGCAGTTTGAGACTTTAAGTAGCTTCACTTGATAATGCATTATGACTTACGTGTATGGTGAGTTTGATTTTTGAGAGGTTCAGAGTTGATTTGGAAGAACAATTTTCAGTTAGAAAGCCTTAAGTTGGAAGAGTTTACCAAGGTTTGACTTTTGAGTAAACGACCTCGGAATCAGCATTTGATGGTTCAATAGGTTCATACTGTAACGACCCAATGGGTCATTTTGAGTGCTAGCTCCTTTTCTGTGTTGTGAGACTTTTTATAGCTCAATTTGATAAATTATGACTTGCGTGTGTGGTCCGTGTCGATTTCTGAAAAGTTTATATGTGAAATTAAAAAAAATATGATTTTTGACCTTAAAAATGACTAGAGTTAACCACGGCCAATATTTTTGATATAAGATCTCGGATCAGTGTTTTGACGATTTTTATAGATTTGTATTATGATTTTGGACTAGTATGCATGTTTGGTTGGGGTCCCGAGTGATTCGAGACCATTTCAGCGCGTTATGTGCAAAGTTGGAAAAATTGAATTTTAAACTTGAAAATCTTGAGTTTTAATGATCGATTCTTGAATTTTGATATTATTTTAATGATTTGAGCTTACATGAGAGTTTGTATGATGTTATAAACTTGTGTGGATGTCCAAATTGGAGCCCGAGGCGCTGAGGTGAGTTTCAGATGGTTTCAACATATCTGATGAAGTGCCGGTATTGATAGTCCGCAGATCTCGCATTTGCGAGATTCTTCTAGCAAATGCGAGCATCACTTTTGCAAGGGATGATCGCATTTGCAAAGATGGGCTGGGGCCGGGAACTTCACATTTGCAAAGTTTGTGTCGCATATGTGGACTGGGGGGCTTCACATTTGTGGTTCTGTAGTCGCCGACTTTGAGGATTTAGGGGTAGCTTCGCAATTGCGATGCTTTGTTCGCATTTGCGGACTGCCCAGGTTACAGAGTTCGCAATTGCGATATCTGTAGCTGGGTAAAAGTTGGAAATTTTGTGACTTAGCTCATTTTACACCATTTTTGAGACCAACACTCCATAGAGGCGATTTTTGGAGAGTAATTCTTCCCAAGTTCATAGGTCAGTTATCTTAACTTATTTTTGTTCAATTTTCATTACTTTTTCATGAATTTCATTATCAAACCTAAGAATTTTAAAGTAGAAATTGGGGGCTTTGGAAGAATTTGAAAATTTTATAAAATTGAGATTTAGGCCTCAAATCGTTGTCGAATTTCGAAACAAATCACATATTCGAGCTTGAGATTGAATGAGTAATCGAAATTTGATCTTAATTTTGGATTTCGACCACGTGGGCCCGTGTTGACTTTTTATTGACTTTTTCAATTATGTTAAAGATTGATCCTTTTTTATTCATGTGTAGCTTTTAAAGCGCGTTTTAACTTGTTTGAACAATAATCGACTAGATACGAGTGGTTAAGAGGCTTGTTCAAAAGGAAAGCCGTGTTGGATTGTTCATTGTGTTCTGAAAAGTATCTTGGTTAACCTTGACTTGAGAAAAATATGGTATAATCGAGTCTATTTGCTATGTGAACTATGTGTTGGGAGTGTCATATATACAATGTGACGGGTGTATATGAGTTGGCCGTAGGATAAGCATGCGGGTAGAATTACCCTTATTTGTGCAATTTTTGTGTATTATGTCTTTTATGCTTTAGATAGATTGTATAATTTCTTGCATTCATGTTATTTCTTATGTCGAGATCATTGAGATATTTGGTATTGAGATCATTGAAATGCTAATTGGTTGTTGGTGCTAATTGTTGAAAGATTCTCATATGATGAGTTGTATTCAAATATCATTGTTGATGTTGAATTTTCTTTTCACCTTGCTTGGTATTGCATTGTATGTGATGCTTGGTAAGAAAGAGTGAAATGCACGAAAGGCATTGCCGTGCTCGTAAGGAAGAGTGAAATACACGAAGGATATTGTCGTGCTTGTGAGGAAGAGTGATTGTGCACGAAGGGTATTTTTGTGCCTTATTCATATATTGATATTATTGCACGAAGGGTATTTTCGTGCTTGAGTAAACATGAGGATATCCACGAAGGGTGTTACCGTGCTTGTTTTTATATTATAATGTGAGGATGAGAGTAAAAGCACGAAGGATGATGCCGTGCAGTTTTGTTAATTTCATTGCTCTTTACTTTGATATTTGGATGTGGACTTGGCTTTGTGGCGTCATTAATTACTTTTGAAAGCTTGTTCAGAGTTGTTGCAATACTACGAGATGAGGTTTACTCAATGACACTTTACTTTTCTTTTCCGTTTATGCCCCTTTACTTCCGTGCTTTATCCCTTTTACTTGTCATTAACCCATTGTTATACTTGATTTTTTACCCATTATTTCATTACTTCTTGATATATAACTGCACAGGTTTATTGTAGGTGTCTTGTCTTAGCCTCGTCACTACCTCGCCGGGGTTAGGAAGCAGCGCATGTAGAGCATTTGCGAAAGGTCCTACACACACATTCTTGACCACAGGTTATATGCCAAATTTTCCAAGTGCGAGTTCTAGTTAGACTTAGTGGCCTTCCTTAGGCACATTGTATCCAGTAAAGGTATCAAGGTTGATAGTTAAAAGGCTAGGGTAGTCAAGAATTGGCCTAGGCCCACAACTCCTACCGAGGAATGCAACTTCTTGGGCTTGGCCGGTTACTATCGAAGGTTTGTGGAGAATTTCTCATCCATAGCTGCTCCCTTGACGAAGTTGACGCACAAGGCAACTAAGTTCTAGTGGACCGATGATTGTATGAAGAGCTTCCAAGAGTTAAAGGACAAGTTAACCTCGGCACCAATGTTAACTCTTCCTGAAGTACTCGAGGGGTACGCTGCATATTGTAATACTTCTAGAGTTGGCTTAGGGAGCGTACTAATGCAGCACGTGAAAATGGTTGCGTATGCTTCAAGGCAACTAAGGAAACACGAGCAAAACTATACGACCCATGATATGGAGCTAGCAGTTGCCATTTTCGCTCTGAATATATGGCGTCACTATCTGTACAGAGTTCATGTTGTATATTCACCGATCACAAGATTTTGCAGTACATATTCAAACAAAAAGAGTTGAATTTGAGGCAATAGAGGTGGCTCGAATTATCAAAGGACTATGATATGGACATTTTGTACCATCTCGGGAAGGCAAACGTTGTGGTTGATGCGTTAAGTCGGAAGTCCATGGGCAGCCTGCGGCATGTGAAAGAGTAGAAGTTGGAGATGACTAAAGACTTGTACCGATTGGAAAACCTAAGTTTACGATTACTTGATACCGGTAACGGAGGAGCCATAGTTCGAAATACTACCGAGTCCTCGTTAATAGCTGAAGTAAAAGCACGGCAATTTGATGACCCAGCCTTGGTGAAGATAAGATGAGGCATCCCCTTTCAAAAGAAGCAAGTGTTCGAGTTATCTAAGGATGGGGTCCTCAAATGCAAGGACCAACTATGTGTACCTGACGTCGGGGGACTCCGAGAGCAGATCATGGCAGAGATTCATTGGTCCTGGTATTCTATTCATCCGGGGTCAACCAAGATGTACCACGATTTTCGACAACTATACTGGTGGAATGGCATGAAGAGGGACATTGCTGAATACGTCACCTGGTTTCCAAACTGCCAACAAGTTAAGGTTAAACATCAAAGGCCGGGAGGGTTGATGCAAAACATGGAAATCCTAACCTAGAAATGGGAAGTGATTAATATGGATTTCATTACCATATTACCACAATCATGCCAAAGATCGATTGTATATCGGTTGAAGATTACGCTAAATTGTATATTAAGGAATACTTTGACTTTATGGGGTTTCGGTTTCCATCTCATCGGAGTGGGGTGCTCAGTTTACGGCTA